CCCCAGCCACAGTGAGCGGGGCACCGGGGTGGGGGCTGGCAAGGAAGGGGGGCCGGGACAGCCGGGGCTGACGTGGGCCATGTTGTCCCCAGGGCGAGAGCATCACCTGGGTCATCTTCCTCATCTCCTACTGGGGCGAGCAGATCGGGCAGAAGATCCGCAAGATCTCGGACTGGTGAGCCAGTGGCCCCGCATCCGGCCACGCGGAGGTTTATTTAGCAAGACCCACTTCTGGAGCCCCCCACGGGGATGGGCTGGGCCCCCGTGGGGAGCCCTGGCACCCCCTGACACAGCGGTGTCCATCTGTCCCAGCTTCCACTGCCAAGTGTACCCCTACCCGGAGAGCGAGGCCAGCCGGGCGGACACCATGAGCGGGTTGCGCGGCCAGATCCAGGACCTCAGCGTGGTGAGCTGGGCACCATAGAGGGGACTGGGGGGCCACGCCGGGACCCCGCCATCCCTGACCCATGCCGGGTGCCCACAGGTACTGGAGGAGACGGAGCAGTACCTGGCGCAGGTGCTGGACAAGGTGGTGCTGGTGCTGCCAACCTGGCGGGTGCAGGTGCAGAAGATGAAGGCCATCTACCTCGTCCTCAACCTGTGCAGCTTCGATGTCACCGAAAAGTGCCTCATCGCTGAGGTCTGGTGCCCCGTGCGGGACCTCACCCAAGTGCAGGACGCTCTGCGCCAGGGATCGGTGCGTTGCTTGGTGTCCCCATGTCCTTGTGCCAGGGGTTGCCTGGTGTCCCCATGTCCTTGTGCTGGGGTTGCTTGGTGCCCCCATGTCCTCGTGACAGGTTTTGCTTGGTGTCCCCATGTCCTTGTGCTGGGGTTGCTTGGTGTCCCGATGTCCTCATGTCAGGGGTTGCTTGGTGTCCCCATGTCCTCATGCCAGGGGTTGCTCGGTGTCCCCATGTCCTTGTGCCAGGGGTTGCTCGGTGCCCCCATGTCCTCATGTCAGGGATTGCTCGGTGCCCCCATGTCCTCATGTCAGGGGTTGCTTGGTGTCCCCATGTCCTTGTGCTGGGGTTGCTCGGTGTCCTCATGTCGTTGTACTGGGGTTGCTCAGTGTCCCCATGTCCTTGTGCTGGGGTTGCTCGGTGCCCCCATGTCTTGTGTCAGGGTTTTCTTGGTGACCCCATGTCCTTGTGCTGGGGTTGCTTGGTGTCCCCGTGTCCTCATGCCAGGGGTTGCTCGGTGCCCCGATGTCCTCATGTTGGAGGTCGCTCGGTGTCCCCGTGTCCTCCTGCCATGGTGGGGCCGGTGCCGGGCAGCGGGGTGCCGTGGGTCAGGTGCCGGGTGCTTTCCCCGCAGTACAAGAGCGGCTCGAGCGTGGAGTGCTTTGTGCAGCGCATCCCCACCTCGGAGAGCCCCCCCACCCTCATCCGCACCAACAAGTTCACCGCCGGCTTCCAGAACATCGTGGATGCCTACGGGGTGGCCAGCTACCAGGAGGTCAACCCCGGTAAGGCCCCCTGACCCCCTGCCGCGGCCCAGGGCTGGGTGGGTGGCCCTATGTGACATGGTCCCTGTGCCCCCGCAGCACCCTATGCTATCATCACCTTCCCCTTCATCTTCGCCATCATGTTTGGGGACGTGGGGCACGGGCTGCTCATGTTCCTCTTCGCTCTCTGGATGGTGCTGTACGAGAACAGCCCCAGCCTGCAGCAGGCCAGCAATGAGGTGAGGAGGACGTGGTGTGGGGCCAGGCTTGGAGGTGTGGGGCCAGGCTTGGAGGTGTGGGACGTGGTTAGGAACGTGGGATGGGGTTGGGGACATGGGATGGGGTTGGTGCTACGGGATGAGGCTGGCGGTGTGGGACAGGGACAGTGTGGGGCAGGGTTAGTGGTGTGGGAGGGGGATGGTGTGGGGCAGGGGAGGCGGTGTGGGACATGGGAGCCATGTGTTCAAAAAACGGGTAGATGTGGCACTTCGGGACATGGTTTAGTCTAGTCTACCCTTGATTGGCATAGAGTAGACTTGGTAGTGTAGGTTAATGGTTGGACTGGATGATCTTAAAGGTCTTTTCCAACCTAAACGATTCTATGATTCTATGTTTGCCCCCACCAGATCTGGCTGACGTTCTTCGAGGGACGCTACCTCATCCTGCTCATGGGGGCCTTCTCCATCTACACCGGCTTCATCTACAACGAGTGCTTCAGCAAAGCCACTGTCATCTTCCCCTCCGCCTGGAGCGTGGCCGCCATGGCCAACCACTCCTCTTGGAGGTGGGACTCCCAACCCCCCTGGGACCCCCGCCCAGGTCCCTGCCTGCACTGACACCCCCTCGCTCTGCCCACAGCGATGTCTACCTCGCCACCCACCCGTCCCTCACCCTGGACCCCAACGTCACCGGCGTCTTCCAAGGACCTTATCCTTTTGGGATCGACCCAGTGAGTGTCCCGTGGGGGAGAGGACGGGGTGGGACCCTCGGTGGGGTGGCCCGGAGCCTTACCCACCTTGTCCACGACAGATCTGGAGCTTGGCCACCAACCACCTCAACTTCCTCAACTCCTTCAAGATGAAGATGTCCGTGGTGCTGGGCATCGTGCACATGGGCTTTGGTGTCCTGCTGGGGATCTTTAACCACGTGTGAGTCCCCGCGGCCGTGCCCATGGGCTCTGGCCACCCACGGTTGTGCTAAGGGGACCGGGGCTGGAGTCACCTGGGTGGGGTGGGCGAGTGGGGTCCCGTACCCCTACCCCTGGGTGGACACGTGAGGGTGCGCCGTGCCAGGCTGAGCGTGGCTGATGTCCCCCTGCCCAGGCACTTCCAGCAGCGGCACCGGCTGGTGCTGGAGTTCCTGCCCGAGATGGTTTTCCTCCTGGCGCTCTTCGGCTACCTCGTCTTCCTCATCT